TTTTAAAAAAACCTATTTTTTTTTTTTTTTTTTTTACAAAAGTATTAAAATAAAAAAATAAAATAATATTATCTAAATGATACTGAAATAACACTGGCAGTTGATATGAAATGTTTGCATTGCATTGCAGGATCTGCAGTGCATTAGGGTTGTATACACATGTATGCACATGTTGGCAAATGCAAACTATAAATATGTTTCCGTTTTAGAGTATAAATACTGTATACTGCAAAAAACAAAAATAGCATGAATAGTATGCATGCACCGCTGAACATATCCAATGTCTCTTTTGTAGTTCAAATCTGTTCAAATATGTGAAATTTCAGCCCTGTTATTATATGTGTGTCTTTCCTGCAGGTTTGGATAACTGGCTGAATCTGACGCGTGTGGATCCGGATGAAGAGGTTCAGGGTGAGATTCATTTGGCTCTGGAGCTGCACAGAGACGCTCAGAGAACCAGCCTGCACTGTCACGTCATCGAGGCCCGGTGAGGACCAATCTAGCTTTCTAATAAACCTGCCATTGTATATTGCAAATATTATTTGCTCTGTGACAAACTGTTTTTGCTCCTCTGTTGTAAGTCGCTTTGAAGCATCTGTGAAATGCATATATATATATATATATATATTTATGCATCAGCTGTTTCTCTGTCTGCAGTGCTGGGTAGTAACTGATTACTGGATTACGTAATCAGATTCCAAAAGATTTCAGTTTGAAGTAAATATAATGTTTAATAGAGGTCGACCAATAGTGGATTTTACCGATACCGATCGCTAGGTTGGCCCACACTGGCCGATACCGATTAATCAACTGATATTTTTTAAAATGGATACTGTACGAAAATTCAAATAGTGCATATATATATATATATACTTTGTGCATGAATAAAAATATTAATATTAAATATTAATTATATATTGATCATGAATTATCTAGCTTGCGTGGGTTGTGAGTCGGCACGGCTCCAGCGCGGATGAATCTAATGTTTTGAGTATGTGTGGCAGTCAGTCACCGCACCGGTGTGGATATTGTACTTTGCACTCACAGATTCTAACCTACGTCTTGGAATATATGACTCAAAAAAACATATTGTCATCTGAACAAGTAAGTAACAAGTCTGCCACGTTTGTTCTGACCAACTGAGGAAAAAAGCATTACAATAAATCTGTCACGAATCCGGTCCATGAACTTCCGTCTGCTAGCCATCAGAGGTCACCCTTTCCATTTTCATTGACTCTCGCACTACACACTGTTGCATAGCACCCCGGACTACATATCCCATCATTCATTGCACTGATTGCACACAGCACTGATTGCACACAGCTGTTTCATATCACTCACACATCAAACCGTGCAAATTATTATTATTGTTATACTTTATTCTCAAATTGTTAATCTTAACAACATCAGCATTGCGTGACTATGAATATAGTGTGTATTAGCGTTTAGATTTCAATTTCTGTACGGGGGACAACTTATTTATGTTTACAGACGTGATGTAATGACGCAGTGTCATGCTCGAATTTCCCATGAAAACTTCCCCGTACCACTCAAATTAGAAAACATTATTATAAGCTAACCGTTGTGAATCGGGCTAAAGAAATCGATAGTTTCGAACACTGGCTGGTTATGTACTTGCTCAAATATTGATTTCGGATCATTTTTAACCAAAAAAAGTTACGGACTGCAGCATTAAACTTCAAAATTTAAAAATGTATTAGTAGATGTTGAAATTAACACACACTAACAAGATGGCCATCTTTAAATATCTACACAAAGGCCATAGCATTGAAATGACATACATATGGATATTGTATGTATACTCTCATACTTTAATTGCTTCTATTCTAGAACACGTGATGATTATCTAATCAAAATAACAAAATATGGCAGTGGCACACTGGGCAAAAAGCGCAGCGCTGCATCTAGAACTCGCAGGTATCAGGGATCACACACGCGTCGTGTTCACTTCAAGCAGCAGCCTAAAACAGTTTATTTAATCACCAGCTGGGCAAAAGTTCACTTCAAGAATGATCAAAAAGCGGCATACATGAGTTTTAAGTTCGGTGTTTAAAAAAACAGAGCAAAACGGAAAGAAAAAGCGTGATCTATATTATAGCTCTCTATATGAAGCATGGAGCCACAGAAAGACCAACGTTTCACTGAAAAAATACACAATACACAATTTTACAGCCTAGGGTGAAGTCATTATGTACATTAACAACGATTTGGGACAAATATGTAATTTAATGTAAAACTGTGTGAATGGCGCTCTGTGGTGCGGCAGGATTTCTGTGGCTGAATCAACATATCAGTATCTTTCTCACGTCACAGCTTTAAATCTGCAACTTCACTGGATAACAAATGCATTAAAGTGACCAGCTGGATATAAACTAACGCAAATAGATATTTAACAATCATGACATTAAGCATTTGCGTCAGACTTGCGTGTGTTTTGTCACATTGTTTTAACGGCTTGAGGTGCTGCTAAAGTTCGCATCCTCTCAGCCTTGAAAGGGAACGTGTACTGCTGTTCTTTCTCCACTAATGCAGCATACAGTCAACAAATGAATTACTTAGTAATGATATGATAACATGCACTACAGTATAATGTGTACACACCGTTTCCTTGTCTGTTTTAAATCCGCACATCTGAAGTGTCCGCTCTGTGCAGCGCGGAGTGTCACGTGTCAAAACAAACAGCACATGCTGTCAGTGATTTCCACCTCTAGAGGCCGCTCTCGCTCTCGTACTGTATAATGACAGCGGAGCTTCTCAGCTGCTCCAGCAACGGACGCAACCTGGAAAAACTATCGGCATGGATTTTTGCCGATAGCCGATAGTTCCAGCAATCAACTATCGGTGCCGATTAATCGGCAAAACCGATACATCAGTCGACTTCTAATGTTTAATGCACTTCATGTTGTTAATAACAACGAATGGAATAGATTTTCTTTCTCTTTCTTTTTATATCAATATGGTACAAAATTATCATATTTAAATCAATGTGATAAACGAGTTAGGTCAAAAGTAATCTAAAAGTAATCCAAAAGTAGTCTGATTATATTACATAAAATGTATAATGTAATAGATTACGTTACTAACTACAATTTTTGTCATGTAATTTGGAATCAGTTACGGATTACAATTTGTAAGTAATCTACCCAACTCTGTCTGTCTGTCTGAATCGTTGAGCGCTGTGTGTTTTTGTCGTTACAGTGATTTGGCTCCGCGTGATATTTCCGGTACCTCTGATCCGTTCACCAGAATCATCTACAACAACCTCAGCGCTGAGACATCGGTGAGATCATCTGTCTTCACCATACAGTTACCAGGGTTTCTCAAGCCACAAAACAGACAAAAAACATCATTAAAGCACCATGATGTGGTTCATACAACTTTTGACGTCACGTGATCTCTTTATATGAGGAACAGACCCAAATCTGTCACTATTCAATGAAAAGCTTTTCCTCCACTGAAGCTCATGCTTTTGCATGTTCAAAACATTCACAATACATGCCAGAACTGTTTGTGTGCAGTTTTTACTTCCCTCCTTCTCCTTATATTGGAGACCCATGATTTGGAGAGAAAAAAATCCAAAATCTTGTGATTTTTCGGATAAAAATGTGCTCAATGCTCCTTGTTTGCTGTACTTGTAGGGCTGCTTTTGTCATTATATATCAATATGACTATAAAATAATAATAATAATAATCGTCATCACAATAATCATAACAATAAACAATCATCTTCATTATTTTATTATGATTATTATTACAAAATAAAATATAATAAATATTGTAATATTTCACTGAAAAATAAAAAATGAGTATTTAAGAAAAATTTTATAATAATAATTTTATTTTACAGTATAACTGTAAAATTACAATACTAATATTTATTACTTAATATCTTTTGTTGTGCTTGTTTATTGGGCTGCACAATTTGGCCCAACGAGTTTGTGATTATATATCAATATGACTAAAAAAAAATAATAATAATAATCATATTAATATTGTAATTTTACAGTTGTACTGTAAAGTTATTATTATTACATTTTTCTTGAATACTCAATTTGTTTTACAGTGAAATATTACAATATTCAGGGTTTAAAGTTCTCCGGCACCGTGCCGGATCTCCGGCGTGCAGCGTTTGGCTGCGGGAGAAAAAAGGATAGTCTAGCTAGCGTCATATTTACATAGAAAAGCTATTAAAAAAGCAGCAGCGAGAACAGCTCAGAGTAATCACGTCATCTCCATAAGAACGATATGATTGCCAGAACAAATTTACCGGGATTTCTGAAAAGGTCCTGTTCACACATGATCTCTTAACGGTAATTTACCCGTAAAGACTGTATGTGTGAAAGGGGCTAAACTCTTCCTTCTGCATACGCAGTGTGTGTACTTTTTGTGATTAAAAGACAAATATTTTGTCATTTGAAAATTTCGAAAAGTATTAAAACATTGTCTCGCTCTAGTGAACCAAATATCTGTATTTTGTCTCACCTTGTGAGCTAAGTGTATTGTCACACCCCTAGTGTC